GACAGACAGAGAGAAAGGTCTTCCTTTGCCGTTGGTTCACCCTCCAATGGCCACCGCGGCCGGCGCGCTGCGGCCGGCGCACCGCGCTGATCTGATGGCAGGAGCCAGGAGCCAGGTACTTCTCCTGGTCTCCCATGGGGTGCAGGGCCCAAGCACCTGGGCCATCCTCCACTGCACTCCCGGGCCACAGCAGTGAGCTGGCCTGGAAGAGGGGCAACCAGGACAGAATCCGGCGCCCTGACCGGGACTAGAACCCGGTGTGCTGGCGCCGCAAGGCGGAGGATTAGCCTAGTGAGCCGCGGCGCCAGCCACTGTTTCTTCCTTATAATCAGTTGAGGCGCCAGCATTGTGGTGGAGTGGGTTAGGCTGCTGCCTGTGATGACAGCATCCCATGAGCGCTGGTTCTAGTCCCGGCTGCTCTACTTCCAATCCAGCTCCCTGTTAATGCACCTGGTTAATCAGTGGACCATTGTCCAAATGTCTGGGCCCCTGCCACCCATGTGGGAGACGCAGATGGAATTCCAGGCTCCTGGCTTCAGCCTGTATCAGCCCCAGTTGTTGCAATCACTCTGGAAGTGAAGCGGCGGGTCGAAGATTGGTCGATCTCTCTCTCCGTAACTCTGCCTTTCAAATAAAACAATCTTAAAAACAAAACAAAACCTCAGTGTACTTCATTTTCCTTACTATGGGAAAAAAAATTATGATACAACTTTGCATCCCCTCAAAAGCCTTAGTTTTCTCTGAAAAGGGTGAAACTACTTAAACTCTAATGTCTGTTCTAGTTCTCGACAAGCCCTATCAACATCCTAACAGTGCTACAGGCAGGGGCTCGGCGTAGCAGCTGAGATGCCAGCTGGGGTGTGGCATCCAGCACTGGAGCTGCTGGACCTGAAGCCCAGTCCCATCCCAACCCCAGCTCTCTGCCTCGCAGACACTGGAAGGCAGCTCCCTGTCACAGACACGGGAGGCCTGGATTTTGTTCCCAGCCCAGGCTGTTGCAGGCATTTGGGGAGTACACCAGCAGATGGGGAGTTTTCTGTCTCTCTAACAAATCAGACAAATAAATGGGACAATACTGTATTCTTCAGGGTAGGTGTCAGACTACTCCCTCATCTATGCCTTCTCCCCAGGACTCCATGCTTCTTTTTTGTTTTTGTTTTTGTTTTTTTGACAGGCAGAGTAGATAGTGAGAGAGAGAGACAGAGAGAAAGGTCTTCCTTTGCCATTGGTTCACCCTCCAATGGCTGTTGTGACCGGCGCACCGCGCTGATCTGATGGCAGGAGCCAGGTACTTATCCTGGTCTCCCATGGGGTGCAGGGCCCAAGCACTTGGGCCATCCTCCACTGCACTCCCGGGCCACAGCATATATCAGCATATAGTGCACAGCTCAAGATTTAAGTTCTTTAAAGATCCATTTTCCATTCACCTTCCATGTGGATTTAAGTTACATTTACTCATCCAAATTAGACCTTCTGAAGGATCCCAATAATTGTTATAAAATTATATACCTTGAAGAAAATAACTTAAAAAGTTGAAATGGCCAACTGTCAAAAATACATTTATGACTATTAACTCTCAAAAATAAATTTTGGCTTTCTAATTAAGAATAAATTATTTGGGCCAGTGCTGTGGCAATGTGGGCTAATCTGACACCTGCAGTGCAAGCATCCCATTTGGGTGCCAAGTTCAAGCCGTTCCATTTCCGATCCACTCCTGCCAACGCACCTGGGAAAGAGCAGAAGATGGCCCAAGATCTCCCCTGAGCACATGCGGGAGATCCAGACACAGCTCCTGGCTCTGGTCTGGCCCTGCCCTGGCCATTAGGGTCATTTGGGTAGTGGACCAGCAGATGGAGGACTTCCTTCTCTCTCTGCCTCTGCCTCTCTCCCTCTATGTAACTCTGCTTTTCAAATAAACAAACAACTCTTTAAAAAATGAATTATTTGGGGCCGGTGCTGTGGTGTAGAGGGTAAAGTTGCCGCCTACTGTGTTGGCATCCCATGTGAGTGCCGGTTCTAGTCCTGGCTGCTCCATTTCCAATCCAGCTCTGGCCTGGAAAAGCAGTAGAAGATGGCCCAAGTCCTTGGGCCCCTGCACCCATGTGGGAGACTGGGAAGAAGCTCCTGGCTCCTGCCTTCAGAGTGGTGCAGCTCCAGCCATTGCGGCCATCTCCGGAGTGAATCAGTGGATGAACGACCTCTCTTTCTCTCTCTCTGCCTCTGTCTCTCTGTAACTCTGCCTTTCAAATAAATAAATAAATCTTGAAAAAAAAATGAATTATTTGTTGTATTTAAAAATTGGAAATTGGCCGGCGCTGCGGCTCACTAGGCTAATCCTCCGCCTTGCGGCGCCAGCACACCGGCTTCTAGTCCCGGTCGGGGCGCCGGATTCTGTCCTGGTTGCCCCTCTTCCAGGCCAGCTCTCTGCTGTGGCCAGGGAGTGCAGTGGAGGATGGCCCAAGTGCTTGGGCCCTGCACCCCATGGGAGACCAGGATAAATACCTGGCTCCTGCCATCGGATCAGCGCGGTGCGCCGGCCGCAGCAGCCATTGGAGGGTGAACCAGCGGCAAAGGAAGACCTTTCTCTCTGTCTCTCTCTCTCACTGTCCACTCTGCCTGTCAAAAATAAATAAATAAATAAATAAAAATTGGAAATTAGAGTCACAAAATCAATCACTTACATGGAAAACAAAAACTTTAAAATTACAATGGCTAGAAGAGTTGAAATGTCTGCCAAACAATGGAAAAGCATCTGTACGTTACTATCACTTAGGAGTCGGCACAGTGGCGTAGTAGGTTAAGCCTCAGCCTACAGCACCACCATCATTGGTTCAAGTCCCGGCTGCTCCACTTTCCAATCCAACTCCCTGCTGATGGCCTGGGAAAGCAGTGGAAGATGGCCCAAGTGCTTAGACCGCTGCACTCAAGTAGGAAACCGGGAAGAAGCTCCAGACTCCCAGCTTCAGCCTGGCCCAGCCCTGGCCACTGCAGCCATGTGGGGAATGAACCAGCAGATGGAGGACCTCTCTCTCTTTCTCTCTCCCTCTCTTTGTGCTCTCTTTGTCAGTAACTCTTTCAAATAAATAAATAAATTTTTTTTCAAAACAGTTACTCCCACCTCCCACATAAAAGTAAGAATTTACAAAAAAAAAAAAAACAAAACCAGGTAAAGTGCTCAAACTATGCATATGAGGGCAACTTATGTATTTCAGATTTGTCTGGGGTTTTGTATTAGAAGTTACTAAAAATAACTTGTTTAAAATAATTCCTTTGAAGCTTTGAAAAGCTCTCTTAGTTTCACCCTTCAGTGAAGAGTGTCCCAATTTAAAAAAGGAGCACTAATATAACGATAATTTCAGGTGTGAAGACCTGTTATTATGGTGCCATCCAGGGATACCAGATCCAGATAAGGTTTGCCATTAAAATCCTTCATCAATACTAACCTTTCAAAGAAATTCCTTTTCAAATAATGTCTGCACTAGCACTGCTAGTGTCAATGAACTTGGTTTTAAGCACATCGCCCTTTCATATAAATACAGCTGTTAATAACCTAAAATCCTTAATTTATCTCCAGAGAAAGCACTGATCCTTGCAGTCCTAGCATGGATGTCAAGATGGCAGCTTCCTGTTGGACATCACTCTTCACGCCTGTTTAACTATAGCTTACATCTGCTAGTGTTTCAGGGCTCTCGAGCTCATTGCAGTGAGCTTATTATTAATTATAACACACACACACTGCAATAGTTCCTTTTTAAAGAGGGGCAGTACAAACTAAGTAACTTACCAAGGTCACCCGACAAGCTAAGTTGGTGACAATGTTGAGAACAGGAGGAAAACTTGGGCTACCACACCTCAGACTTCCGGCCGAAAGCGGAGGGGGACCGCATACCCCACCGTCAAACCCAGCAGTGCACTAGCAAAGGCGCGCCCCAAGGGAAGGGACAACCTGCTCCATTTAGACAGGGCTGTCAGCTTCCCAGCCCCGGTAAGCAGGAAGAAACACGACCCTGGGTCCGGGTCTGTGAAATCACAGGGCCCGTCCGCTCGTGCCTGTGGCAGGCGCCGTTTCCACACTCACTGCACGTGTACAAACGGTGCTTTACCACGGTCTCCTCGCCCCGCCAGGAGCCAAGTCGAAGGCCACCTCTCAGGGAGGACAGTTACTCACACAGAGAAAGAAAAGCCCTCGCAAATCGCTGCTCTTAAAGAGATCGCTGTAAAGGAAGATCACAGACTCCAGAGTCCCTGCTGAGCCGCCCCAGGAGACGGGTCCTTCACAGCAGCTTTCAGGCACATCCCTGCCCGTGCGGGACACAGTCCGACTTGTTGGACCAGGCTAATCCGGGCAGGCTCACACAGAGCCCCGCTGCACCAGCTCCGGCCACCGAGAACACCGGTTCCAGCCCGCAACCGCGGCGCTCGGCCCAGCCCACCCCACGAGGGGCAGGACGACCCCTCCCCAGCAATCGGCCGGGAGGCCGCCCGGGGCGGGGCGGTGACAGCCGAGCTCCGCGGACGTTTTTGGAAACGGCGGTCGGGAAGTGTCAGTGCGGCCGCAGGTGGAGCAGCCCTGCGTGCCCAGAAGGTCCTTTCCGACCCGCTCCAGGCTGACAGACCCCTCCCCGAGCCCCGGCGGGACTCCCACCCCTCCGGGGAAGCCAGGCGGGCGGGCCGGCCACCTCGCCCCGCAGGCCCGCTCCTGGCCGTGTCAGCGCCCGGCGGACCCCGCCGGAGCCGAGGCGGCCGGCTCCCAGGCCTCCCAGCCGGAACCCCGCACGCCCGGCGCCGGCCCCCGGCCCCCACGCCCTCGGAGCGCCGACGCCACCACCCTGCCCACTCCCGAGCCCCCTTTCCTCGGGAGTCCCTCAGCGGAGTTGCCGGCCCACTCCAAAGTAAGAGCGACGGCCACCCCTGCCGGTCACCCCGGCCCCGCTGTCACCGCCCTGCCCCCGGCCTCCGCCCACGCCGCCGGCGGGCCCCGGTGACGCCCGGGTCGGTACCTTGCGGACCCCCTTGTAGATATAGAAGTAGAGCTCCCGGCCCACATTGAAGCAGAGGCGGTCGCCGTTGCCAGACTGGTCGTTGAGGTTTACGAAGGAGACGCGCACAGGGTTGGATCCCTGCGAGTTGAAGGGCACCCGGTTGGGCCGGCTGTACTCCGAGTGCGGCAGCAGCTTGTACAGACCTTCCCGGGTGGTGAATTGGGTCTTAATCTCGTTCATCTCCTTCCCTCCTCCCTCCGTCGCCATCTTGGAAAGCAGCGTTCATCCTGCCCTAAGTGCCCGGATCACGCCCACCGCGCAGGCGCCGTCCCCGGCGTTCGCTCTCCTCCCCCCGCCTCTCCCCTCTGGCCCCGCCCACCCGCGGGCCAGCCCCACGGAGGCGGGCCGAGGGGACGGGGCGGGCTTGTTTACGGCCCGACTGCGCACGCGCGCTGCCCCGGCGGCTCCACGCGGCGGGGCGTGCGCCGGCTCCTCCCCCGGGCGTCGTCTCGCGGCGCCGCGGCTGCGTCCTGGGGTCGCGGGCTCGGGGTGCCGAGGCGCTGGCGGGGCTGCGGGTGCCGCGGGAGCGCCGGTAAGGGAGAGCCGCGGCGGGAGTGAGTGAGGGCGGCCTCCTCGGCTGCTTCCGGCCCTGCGGCGCTGAGGGGAGGGCGCCGCGCCCCGAGGGGTCGGCTCGTGAGGAAGCCGCGGGCGGCGGGGGTGGCGCTCTCGCCGCGGGCTGGGGGCTGTCCCGCCCCGCGGGCCCGGAGGACCCTCGCGACCGGCCCGTGCCGCGGCCCGGAGCCCCTGTGGCGGAGTCGTGCGGGGGAGGACGGTGTGTGTGGACTGGCCGTCTGAGGCGTGAGGCGCGCGGGGCAGCGCGGGGAGCCGGATCATTCCTGTTGCTCCGTAGCTGCTTAGGCGCCCTCAACGAGATGAGCGGAATTGAGTTTAGAAATGCCCCACGCGGACCCGCGAAGTCCAGGTGTGCGAGGGTCGCGGTGACCGCGGACAGCCGCTGGCGTGCGCTAACGCGCTTCTAGGGTGACGTTCTGATGGCATTCCGGGGCAGAGCCAGTGCTTGCCGCACCGAGAATGACCAGTTCCTGCGTGCTGACGGGGAGGGGGAGTCAGAGCCGCCAGCCGGGGTTCACCCTGGGGAGGGGGGAGTCAGAGCCGCCAGCCGGGGTTCACCCTGGGGAGGGGGGTGTCAGAGCCGCCAGCCGGGGTTCACCCTGGGGAGGGGGGAGAGGAGTGTCAGAGCCGCCAGCCGGGGTTCACCCCTGGGGAGGGGGGAGTCAGAGCCGCCAGCCGGGGTTCACCCTGGGGAGGGGGGAGTCAGAGCCGCCAGCCGGGGTTCACCCTGGGGAGGGGGGAGAGGAGTGTCAGAGCCGCCAGCCGGGGTTCACCCCTGGGGAGGGGGGAGTCAGAGCCGCCAGCCGGGGTTCACCCCTGGGGAGGGTGTCAGAGCCGCCAGCCGGGGTTCACCCTGGGGAGGGGGGAGTCAGAGCCGCCAGCCGGGGTTCACCCTGGGGAGGGGGGAGAGGAGTGTCAGAGCCGCCAGCCGGGGTTCACCCCTGGAGAGGGGGAGTCAGAGCCGCCAGCCGGGGTTCACCCTGGGGAGGGGGAGGAGTGTCAGAGCCGCCAGCCGGGGTTCACCCCTGGAGAGGGGGAGGAGTGTCAGAGCTGCCAGCCGGGGGTTCACCCTGGGGGGGGGGTGTCAGAGCCGCCAGCGGGGGTTCACCCTGGGGAGGGGGGAGAGGAGTGTCAGAGCCGCCAGCCGGGGTTCACCCTGGGGAGGGGGGTGAGGAGTGTCAGAGCCGCCAGCCCCACCCCACCCCCACCCCCGTGATGGAACAGTGCGGCTGACCTAACCTGCTGAGCCTTTCAAAGCGCTGAAATCCTGCCGGGCTAACAGGTATCTGAAATACTTAAACATTTTTGATAGAATTGTTCTGATGTCTTTTGCCTTTCCCTGAAACTCAGGGCTCAGAACTCTATTTTAAGATGTATTCTGTGCCTAGCATGAGTTTGCCCCGATCTCTGGTAACTGAGTTGTTTTACATAAAAATTGTACACATATAATTGGTCATCTTGAGGGATCATGACATCCTGAATAAAAAAACGCTGTTTCCTAGTTAGCAAGGGGGAGAAGTACAATAACACATTTTTTTTTTTTTTGGTGGGAGAAAAACCTCAGCAAACAAAACAAAAACTTTTTAAATCCTCGATTAACTGCACCATTCTGTTATCCCTAATAGCAGTATAACTAAAGCGTTCTATCAAGGCTTTATTTTATATAGTCAGCATTTTCTGTTGTGATCATAGTAACAGTGGGCTGTTCATTTTTCTCATCCATACAGATGAATAATTTCTGTTTTAGTACTTTTAGTTTCCTCCACACGCATACACACTCAAGGATTCAGTAAAGCCCAAATCTTCGTAGCTGGGTCCATCCTAAAGTTCATTTCTGATTTCCATTTTTTTTTCTTTTCTTTTTTAAAAGATAGATTTGTTTATTTGAAAGTCTGAGTTAGAGAGGAGGAGAGATTCCATTCGCTGGTTCACTCCTCAAATGGCTGCAGCGGCCAGGACTGTGCCACACCAGAGCCAGAAGCCCAGAACTTCTCCAGGTCTCCCACTAGGTGCAGGGGCCCAAGCACATGGACCGTCTTCCGCTGGGAGCTGGATTGGGAGCAGAGCAATCAAGCCAGGATGCCAGCACTTCAGGCCTTAGCTTAACCCGCTGCCCCATGGCACTGGCCCCTGATTTTCATTTTCAACCCGGATGTTTTTAAATGAAGCTGCACTTCAAATTCATCAGTCTCTAAACTTATCAGTTCCTTTTCCATTTCAAACTTGAATCATTATAGTAATTTCATAAGTATTTCCTTAATGTCCATTTGTTCTCTCAACTACCAAATCAGTTCTGTTAAAACAGTGCTTTAGACATTACATTCTCTGGTCCAAAAACATTTCATGACTTGTAGTATCTGCATTTTTTTTTTATTTATTTTTTTTTTTTGAAAGTTATAGAAAGAGGGAGAGACAGAGCCTCTGTTCACTGGTTCACTCCACAAATGGCTACAACACCTGGGGCTGGGCCAGGCTGAAGCCAGGAGCTTTATCCAGATCTCTGATGTGGGTGACAGGAACTCAAGCACTTGGCCCATCTTCTGCTTTCCCAGGTGCATTAGCGGGAAGCTGAATTGGAAGTGGAGCAGCTGGGACTGAAACTGGCTCCCATATGGGATGCCAGCATCGCAGGTGGCAGCTTAACCGGCTCTGCCACAGCACTGGCCCCAGTATCTGTGTTTTTTAAGTCATGCACCAGCAGCCTGTACTTTAAAGGTTGCCTAAATCTTTATTCTAGTCACACTGTTCTGCTATCACTCTTAACTTTGTGACTTTGTCCCTTCTTCCTTTTTTCCTTCATAGCTTAGTTTTTTGTTTTTTTGATTTTTTTTTAGTTTTATTGCACAGAGGCAAACAGATCTCTATCAGCTGGTTTGCTCCCCAGATACCCGTAACAACCTGAAACACAGTCCTGGCTTGCCACATGGGCAGCAGGGATCCAAGTACTTGACCCATCTTCTGCTGCCTCCCAGAGTCCAAATTAAAAGGAAGCTGGAATCAGCAGAGCTAGGACTTGAACCAGGCACTCTGATACAGGATGCAAGGATCTCACGCAGCAACTTAATGCACCAAATCCCACCCCAGAAAGTGACATTTCATCAAAAACTTCAAAGAAGTAAGGAAGTATGCCATTGGAAAAGCTAAGAAAAGAATAGACCAAGGAGGGGCTGGCACTGTGGCGTAGTGGGTTAAGCCGCCGCCTACAGTGCTGGCATCCTATGTGGGCGCTGTTCGAGTCCTAGCTGCTCTACTTCCTTTCCAGCTCTCTGCTATGGCCTGGGAAAGCAGTAGAAGATGGCCCAAATCATGGGCCCCTGCATCCATGTGGGAGACCCAGAAGAAGCTCCTGGCTCCTGGCTTTGGATCAGTGCAGCTCCGGCTGTTGCAGATGGAAGAACCAGTGGATGGAAGACCTCTCTCTCTCTCTGCCTCTCCTTCTCTCTCTGTGTAACTCTTTCAAATAAATAAATAAATCTTAAAAAAAAAAAAGAGAGAGAGAGATTAATGAATCTTAGACATACTCTGAAGATAAAGCCACTAGGATTTCCCAGCAGACTGGATGTGGCTTTTGGGACAAATGAGAAAGTCAGAAATAATGTAGACATAAGCAGCTAGAGGATGGAAATGCCATTAACTCAGATAATAGAGGCTGGGGATGGTCGAGAATTCAGCTTGAACACACTGGATATGAAGTATCAGGCATTTGGAGGAAATGTCCAGGAGGCTGTTGGAGAAGCAAGTCTCGAGAGTTCAGAGCTGCTGACGGGTATTTGGCACTCATCAGCAGATAGGTGGTATTTAAGGCCTGGTTGCTGTCAGCCGGAGGGTGAGTGAGGATAAGAAGCAGGACTGAGGACTGGACACTGGGGCAGTCCAAGAGCCTGGCCAGAAGAGTAGGACAATTTACTGATAACCTGAAGCATCCTGCTTTTTTTTTTTTAATTTTTTGCAACAATATGGATATTTCAGGCCAAAATTACCTTTTTCAGATTCAAAGTAATCCAGTAAGATACTCAAAACTTTTAACTTTGAGGAAAGTTTTGCTACAGTAACCCTGAGAAAGAAAATAGGCATAAATGGGTATCCTTAAGAACCACATTTGAAATACTTGCTGACTCAGTAAGTAAAGTAACCAATTTTAGATTTATCTTGTTGGACAAGCTTATTCTATTATTACAGATCTATTTATTGTACAACCATTATGGGATTTGAAAAGAAATTTGGAAGACATTATATAATATACTGTCCCTAATATAGCATTCCTACTTTGTACAATGTTAAAATTGATACACCATTGGGATTGCTAATTTTTTTTTTTTTTTCAGATTTATCTGTTTGAAAGGCAGAGTAGTAGAACACAGAGAAAAAAACAGATCTTCTGTCTGCTGATTCACTCCCTAGATGACCAGGCCAAAGACAGGAACCTGGAACTCCGTTCAGGTCTCCCACATATGTGGCAGGAGCCCAAGCACTTGAACCATCGTCTGTTGCTTTCCCAGGTGCATTAGCAGGGAGTTGGATTGGAAATGAAACAGCTGGGACTTCAACTGGCACTCTAGGATTCCAGCATTGCAGGCAGTGGTTTAACCTGCTGTATCAGTTATGTTTTGTTTTGTTTTTGGCAGGCACAGTTAGAAAGAGACAGAGAGAAAGGTCTTCCTTTTCCATAGGTTCACCCCCCAAATTGCCACTACAGCCAGCGCACTGCAGCTGGCGCGCTGCACCAATCCGAAGCCAGGAGCCAGATGCTTCCTCCTGGTTTCCCATGGGGGTGCAGGGCCCAAGCACTTGGGCCATCTTCCACTGCCTTCCCAGGCCACAGCAGAGAGCTGGACTGGAAGAGGAGCAACCGGGACAGAATCGGTGCCCCAACTGGGACTAGAACCCGGGGTGCCGGCACCGCAGATGGAGGATTAGCCAAGTAAGCCTTGGCACCAGCAGTTATGTTTTTAAATACAAATTCATGTTGTGCAAAGTATCTTATTTCTATAATCTTTTAAATATTTATTTTATTTATTTATTTGAAAGGAATAGTTAGAGGTCTTCCATATGCTGGTTCACTCCCCAAATGGCAGCAATGGCTAGAGCTGGGCTGATCCAAAGCCAGGAGCCAGGAGCTTCTTCCAGGTCTCCCATATGTATTCAGGGGCCCAAGCACTTGGGCAATCCTCTGCTGCCTTCCCAGGCACACTAGCAGGGAGCTGGACTGGAAGTGGAGCATTTGGCACTCAAACCGGTGCCCGCATGGGATGCTGGCACTGTAGGTGGTGGCTTTACCTACTATGGCTCAGCACTTGCCCATTCTGTAATCATATTAAGTGGATGCTGCACTTTTAATACCTCACATGTATCTTGAAATATAAATGCTTTTATAGAGTCTTGGAGATCTTCAAAGTCAGCACATTTAGTAAGCCCCTACTCTGTCTGTGGTCATTGTGCTAAGAACTTCCATGTACTTTCATTTTCATAATACAACCTTCCAACAAAGGTCCAATATCCCTTTCTTACAGAGGAGATAACTAAGAATGAAACGAATGAGTGGCCGGCGCCGTGGCTCACTTGGTTAATCCTCTGCCTGCGGTGCCAGCATCCCATATGGGCGCTGGGTTCTAGTTCCAGTTGCTCCTCTTCCAGTCCAGCTCTCTGCTGTGGCCTGGGAGGGCAGCGGAGGATGGCCCAAGTGCTTGTACCCACATGGGAGACCGGGAGGAAGTACCTGGCTCCTGGCTTTGGATCAGCGCAGCGCCGGCCGTGGCAGCCATTTGGGGAACGAACCAACAGAAGGAAGACCTTTCTCTCTGTCTCTTTCTCACTGTCTATCACTCTACCTGTCAAAAAAAAAAAAAAAAAAAGAAACGAATGAAGTGACTTATTCAAGTTACTATTCTAGAGCTAGGGATGAGGAGAAACAATTTGAATTTGGGCCTCAAAAGAGAAATATATTAGAGTAAATATATTAAAAGTCTCATGTTCTACTGACTGAGTTAGCTGGGCATCTAAAATGTGTTTGTTTAAGCTAAACTTGAAGTATTAAGAATAGCAATTTAAGTTTGAAGCAAACTTGTATTTTTTGAAAATTGAAAGATTTTTGAAAACTTAAAATTAGAAAAGTCTGGAGACAGAGCTATGGCAGATTGAGTTGATCCTCTGCCTGCAGCACCAGCATCCCATATAGACACTGGTTTGTGTCCAGGCTGCTGCTTGTCCAGCTCTCTGTTTATGGCCTGGGAAAGCCGTGGAGGATGGCCCAAGTGCTTGGGCCCCTGCACCCATGTGGGAGAC